CTCTCCCTGCGCTGGCACCTGGGCCGCAAAACAGGCGACGTGCTGCGGAGCATCGACCGCGGCACGTCCTCCATCAACAGCCTGCTCAGGTACGATGGCCATAAATAGACCCATTATTTTTTCATTTTTCAATTTGAATGAATAAGTGACTTCCTGACTCTTTGATTTTCCCTACAGCTACATAGTGTTCAGCATCCTCCCAACCTTCGCAGATATTATCATTTCTATCATCTACTTCATCACGTATTTCAACGCCTGGTTCGGCCTCATCGTGTTCGTCTGCATGGCCCTGTACCTCAGTAAGCTATCTACAATTCTGTATATTTACTCAAACCTACACATTTTCCCCTTAAGGTTTTTTATTGCCTGTTTATATTTCCCCCAGCTCTGACCATCATCATCACTGAGTGGAGGACCAAGTACAGACGAGAGATGAACCAGCTGGACAACAAAACTAAGACCAAAGCTGTGGACTCCTTGTTGAACTTTGAGACGGTACAACAAACATTTTATAGTCAGTTTGACTCATTAAGATGATTCCAGAAAATGTCAACTTTGTGTTCTTATTTGATCTGTTCCATAGGTGAAATACTACAATGCAGAGAGCTATGAGGTCAGCCGCTTTGAGGACGCCATCTTGCAATATCAGGCAAGTGGAGTTTCCATTTAAACATTTAGCCTGCGTTCAGTCATCGCTGCTTTCAGGAACCCATTTGCAAGTTGATTTTAAATCCAGTATTTTACAATGGAATCATAATTCATTTGATATTCTCACTGCTGTATGTTCAAAACGGCAGATGGCCAAACTCTGAAATATGATTTTTAAGGCAAGATACGTTTCAAAAACAAAGACTATAGGAAAACATGGATATACCACATTTAATAATCTAGTTGTTTACCAGCTAATGTGCAGCATATTGGCATCCATTATTACATGTATACCCAGTCCATGCAGTCCTGGTTCTGAAGGTCTTCCTCCTCCTGTCTTCAGGTGTCGGAGTGGAAGGCCCAGGCGTCGCTGGCCTTCCTCAACCAAACCCAGAACCTCATCATCGGGTCGGGCCTGCTGGCCGGCTCCCTGCTCTGCGCCTACTTTGTGACGGAGGGGAAGTTTCAGGTACTGATCACAACAAGGATATATATTCTTGAATCACTTCCGAATGATGACTTTGTGTTGTCTTTTTTACGGATTAGATGGGAAGAATAACAATCATTTGTATTTTAGGTTGGAGATTTTGTTCTCTTTGGTACCTACATCATCCAGCTGTACACCCCCCTCAACTGGTTTGGTACTTACTACAGGTAAGAAGAAAAGTCTTTGAACGCACCGTGCTGAAAACCCATCCATTATGAAGGTTGTTGTAAACCGTTGGCTGCATTTTCTTCTTCTTCAGAATGATCCAGAACTCGTTCATTGACATGGAGAGCATGTTTGATCTTTTCGAAGAGGATGAAGAGGTACATTTCAGACCGGACCAATGCCTGTTTTGTGTTTTCTTGTTTTGTTATCCACCTTTTTGTTTGACATGTTCTGTACTTGCTCCGTCATGCAGGTGAAAGACGTAGTGAATGCAGGAAGTCTTCAATATAAAAAGGGAAAAGTGGAGTTTGAGAACGTTTACTTCAGCTACGTAAACGGGTTGGTTCCCACTCGATATGACCGCGTGTTTACACTTAAGTTGTTTCATGATGTAATACAGTGTGTAGATGACTTAGTTTGAATGTTCCAACCCTCTTTCTGCACAGCAAGGAGATCCTCAGGGATGTTTCCTTCACCGTGCTCCCAGGACAGACGGTTGCCCTGGTAAGGAACCACTTCATTTCTCAATGATCCACATACAGTAACGTGTTCAGCTGAGACTGTTGTCTTTTCCTCTGAACCTCCCCAGGTGGGACCGTCCGGCTCAGGGAAGAGCACCATCATGAGACTCATCTTCCGTTTCTATGACGTTCAGGGAGGCTGCGTTAGCATCGACGGGCAGGACATATCAAAAGTAAATGAACATGGAAACACAATTACAAGTTCAATTAGGCACAGGGTGATCAAAGCATATACTTCTGGAGTTCAAGCAATGCCTCTGTGATGCATTAACGCAGTTATATTAACATAATGAGACTTGCATAATAATCAGACGCAGCTTAAATAGCATCACCGGCGCTAAGTAGCAGGTTTAAATGATAAGACACTGTGCCGCTCGTGTGCAAATAAAGGCATCTAACTGCTATGAGCATGATTTAGCCCCTTGTGATGTTGCTCCTGAGATTACAGGGAGCAATGAAAGCACATTTTACGATGTCTTTAATAAAGCCGTGTGGGTTTACGGGCTCTCGTTGGACTAGTAATGAATACGTCTTATTGTTTTCTCCTCAGGTGAAGCAGGCCTCTCTGCGCTCTCACATCGGCGTGGTTCCCCAGGACACCGTGCTGTTCAACGACACCATCCGGAACAACATCCGCTACGGCCGCATCTCCGCCTGCGACCAGGAGGTGGAGGAGGCGGCCGCCGCGGCTGATATCCACGACAAAATCATGACGTTCCCTGAAGGTAACGCAAAGATAATGTATCAAGGAACTGCACGATCTATTATATCACACATTTCTACCCTCAACATTCATTTGTGCAATATATATATATATACCGCTTCTATCACACTAGTTTATACATGTTACACTTATTTACTTTAAATACTGTTACTGACGTGTATTTTGTCAGTTGTAATTTGTGATGTATATGTATGCTTCTTAATGATATTAAGCTAGTTTTGGCTCTTAGTTTTGCTGTAACAATGTACATTTCCCCTCTGTGATTGTGATTTCTTTTCTGGCAGGTTATGAAACACAGGTCGGTGAAAGAGGTCTGAAGCTGAGTGGAGGAGAGAAGCAAAGGGTGGCCATCGCCAGAACTATCCTCAAAGCACCACAGATCATACTGCTGGACGAGGTGAGGTTACAAAAGAACATTTCAAATAAAGATTGAAGCCTTGGGAAATATTCCTACAGTCCAAGTTATGTCGATGAATGTCTCTCTGCAGGCCACATCTGCTCTGGACACACAGACAGAACGCAACATCCAGGCCTCGCTGAACAAAGTCTGTACCAACAGGACAACAGTTGTCGTAGCTCACAGGTAAGAGATGCATGAACTGTAGAATTGTTCTCTAATTTGTTTGAAAAGGTTGAGTTAATCCCTTCTTCTTTGTTAAAGGTTGTCCACTATAATCGCAGCAGACCAGATTCTGGTTATCAGGGACGGCCGGGTCGCCGAGCGAGGACGGTGAGTGTGAAATGTTCTCACTTTCATCCTCATGCAGGGGCGCCGTAAGGGGGTGAAAAGTTAGGACGATTCTAAGGGCCCGTGACTGACAGGGGCCATAACTATTTTAGAACATTAAGAAAAAAAATGTTTAAGTAACCAATGTGATTATCTTTTCATGGGGCCCAAAATCCCTGGCGGCGCCCCTGTCCTCATGAACTCTTTGAATTTGAAGTGACACACCTTCTCTCTCTCCCAGGCATGAGGAGCTGCTGGCTAAGGGAGGCCTGTACGCTGACATGTGGATGAACCAGCAGCAGGCCCAGGACTGCGACTCCTCCTCAGACACAGAAGCCAAAGACCTCAAGTCGGAGAAAATGCAGCCGCCGTCCACCTCTGTAGACCACCACGGTCACTGAATGTGCTTTTGAGTTTTTTTACTTTTGTGAGTCAAACTGAATGTGTACTTGAGAGTAGAGAAGGTGCCTTAACCAACCTGAGGCGGCGCACACAATCTGGTGGTGTCTGGTAATGACTTTTATACCCCAAAAGGTACAATTATTATAAAAGAAATCCATCCTGAATTATTATTTCAAAACGTAATGAAAAGTAGTGCATTAAGACCCATGCATTCATCAGGGTAACTCCCAGTGTTTCAACATATTTTTTTAAAGATATTATTACATTTAAAAGCCCTCCTGCCATCTTTTAACATTGTCTTTATTTTTATATGTTAGACATGGCTTTTGTCAGTTTATGCTGTCGAATTTAAAACATATTTTCTTAATCTAAGCCAAGATATAAAGGGAGAGGTGCAAGAAATAGGGATGAATGACAATGGATATGTAAATGAGCTGTCAGGGAATGTATTCAGCTTTGTTTTATTTATTATATTACTTTGATTTAGGTTTTCGATATCTGAGCTCTGCTGTTATTTAAATTGTAAGTGATACTTTTTTATGTGCAAGCGTCTTTATACTCTTGATCACTAAGCTAAAATGTGGTGTGTTGCTTGTCTTAAGGGTTAAGGAATATTGAACATTAAAGAACCTGTGATTTCTTTTTTTAAAGAACTGACTTTAGACTGGCTCATTTACATATAAAGTGGTGCAGACAATAAGAGCCGGCACATGGATATTAAACCTCAGATATCAGTCATAGCTGCTTCTTCTGCATAAAGTCAAATTATCTGCTGTGAAAAAGATCAAACTTAATAGATAATGCAGTTGTAATACCAACCATTATTTTCACTTCATGTATTATATATACATGCAGGCATATAAACAAGTTCTAAATAAGAATTTGAAATGTTGTATATCTTTGTGACATAAGGTATTGCTCATTTGACTTGTAAAAAATAAAAGTTTTTTCCATGTATTCCAGTCTGTGAAATGTACCAGTTATTTTAGGAATAACCCTCATACCTTTTACATTTATATTTAATTGAATAAGCTATTCCATGCACACTTAATGTAAATAATATCCTACTTTTAAATGTTGATTGCTGTAATTGGCCCTTTCTAGTGTGTATTTGACTGATAGTCTTCAGATATCTCCCTGCCTGTGTGTGGCTGTTTTTACACAGCAGTACCAGCGTATCGCCACAAGATGGCGGCATTGCTCCACGCTGCCTCTGTGTCCCGGGTCGGGGCGTGTTGCTATTCGGGTTCTCCTTGTCAGACGGACGGAGGCCAACACAGTCGTCTCTTCAACATTCAGTGGACTAATGTATAATCTATAGTAAATATGGATTTCGACGCTTTATTCAACGAGAAGACATTTCAGTTCTCGGACTTCCAGGAGTTTACGGTATGTTGTCGAGTAGCTCGGTCAACAAAGTACGGAAGCTAAAGCTAGGCGCATTAGTTTCTGTCAGCTGGTAACATTGTGTTCCTCATAATACACTGACCGGGGACATTAGGTAACATAGTTGTGATTTAGTTTGATTCAATTGTTTCTTATTCGACCTGAACAATGTGTCGTTTAAAACCATTCATAAAAAGACCAAGCTCTAAACGAGAGCACTTTGTTAGCTACTGTCATTTTGCGCCTGTTGACAATCTACAGGCCTAGCGTTAGCTTAGCATACAGCTAATGTTAAACAATATGGCGTATGGGCCACACTTCCTGTAAACATGTGGGTATAACGAGAACTGGGTAAAGATAAATAAGATAAGATGTACTTTATTGATCCCAAATTGCGAAACGTTTTCGTAACAGCAGCAGAAGGTTAAAATAAGGCTTTGCACATCATTTGAGAAATAAAAAGATTAGAAAGTAAACAAACATCAAATATAAACGTCTCTAAATAGACAATATAACAGAACTACAAAGTAAAATATATACTAGTTGACTGTGACAGATACAAATCTGTAGACTTATTGTCAAATAAACACTACGAAGGGCCAATTACAGCTAACAAAATGTAAAAGTAGGATGTTATTTACTCCGTTAATTAGTGTTTTAATTAACTTTACTGCTATTCTACCTGTTTAACGTTAGTTCCCCTAATCATTGCTTTTTGTAATGTCCATGCTGTTGTGTTGCAGTTTCTTCCTGGACACCAGAGGCTGACAGACAGAGTGAGGAAGCGCCTGTACTATGGTCTGGACAAAGACATCTCTTTAGATGCCCTCTCTTGCCCTGTTACAGGTGAGTTAAATATGAGCTTTTTAACAATGTTGGTACATAAGTGACTGAGCTGCTCTCTGGCTCACCTCCATAATACATACTTCCTGTGCAAGGGTTTGGCAGATTTGCTATAATCAATGTCAGGACATCTGTGAAGTTGTTGCAACATTTACACAATACATTAAAAACTCAAATAGAACCAGAGGTGGAAGAAGTACCCAAAAGGATTCAGTGTAAAAATACTCAGCTACAGTTAAAGTATTAGCATCAAAGTATACTTAAAGTATCAAAAGTAACTCACAATGCTGAATGGCCAACTTAAGTACTATATATTTTTGAATTACTCTATTATAATTATTGGTGCATTAATGTGTTCGTCACTTCAATGTTCCACTAAAAGAAAGTGGGGTTTATTTGATTTACCTCCATTTTTGTTTAACTTAAGAACAATACTTCAGTAAATGTAGTTAGTTACATTCCACCACTGTTGTGTTAACTTTGTCCTTATACTCTCTGTGATTCCAGATATCGCTGTGGAAATCTTCCAGAAGTCTGCCCCAAGCCCCATCAGAAAGCTCCAGAAGAAATATGCTGCACATGTTTCCAGGTTTGTCCTTCTATGCATAGATCGTGCCTTGCTACAGGCAGTAAGTGTGACCCTGTGCCAGTCAAACCTCATAAAAACATTTCTATTTTCTGCTGCAGGGAAGCTTGCATCTCTCCGTGTGCCATGATGCTGGCTCTTGTTTACATTGAAAGGCTCCGACATAGAAACCCTGAATACCTACAAAAGATCTCCTCCTCTGACCTCTTCCTGATCTCCATGGTATGTGTGTTGGGGTCATGGGTCAATCCGAATGTCTCACTGTTATATCTGGCATGGGCACTGCTCATTTCAGAATGGAGTTTAATACGTGCGGTCTTCATTCTACTTGTGTTATCTTGAATTAATCATGTAAATAGGATAATGTATTAACAAAGGCACTGATCTCTCTGAATAAGATGGTTGCCAGCAAGTACCTGTATGACGAAGGAGAGGAAGAAGAGGTTTTCAACGACGAGTGGGGAGCAGCTGGGAAGTTGGACGTGAAAACGGTCAATAACCTGGAGATGAACTTCTTGAATGCCATCGTGAGTGTGTTGGCATTTCTATGTGGTGTGTCCTTACATGCATGTTTGAGTCAAGTTCTCCGTCTCAACCATTGTGTAATATCTTATAGGAGTGGAGCCTCTTCACGGAGCCAAATGACTTATTTGATATACTAAGTCAAGTGGAAACCAGGTTGGTAGTCTTCTCTTTAAACCTGCGCTACAGTTTTGACATTATAGACAGTTTTTCTTGAGTCAAGCCAGTAGATTTTCTTGAAAGCACTGTTCTGGCATAACCAGTATTTCTGTATCCGCAGCATTGCAGAGCGGCAGGGAATGAAGCGCGGCTGGTTCACCTACACCGACCTCTGTGTGCTTCTGGAACAATCAGCCTGGAGCCAAGCCCTCGCAGCCATCTGCCAGCACTTCACCAAGGTGGGAGGGAGTTTGTTTCAAAGCAGCTATGGATGATATGTATGCTTGAGGTGTATTGTAAATCCGTATTGATTCTATTTCCAGGTGTCCTGTATGCTCGGCCTGGTGTATCTGACCAGTGTTGCCGGGCTCATCGCCACCAGCGCCGTGCTGCACCAGCTCAGTCTCTCCAGGAGCGGACAGGCCCTGCGTCCAGCTGACATTATCCCAGACCTCAAGACCCCCGACCTCAATGAGAAAGCTTCTCCTGCAGCCCCGCGCATCCCCTGTTGTGTTCTCGCTAACAAGAGTGAGAACCGTCAGACCGGGACACTTGGAATCAACCAGGAAGAAGAGCACAGTCCACCACCTGTTACCTCCCAGACGTCAGTGTTGTGTCTCTGGGGGTCCCTCCTCGCCTCAATGGGTCACATACATCCTGAAACTGATCCTGGTCCTCCCCAGACCTGGTCTCCCGTCTCCTTCTTCTGTCCCGGCTGTCTGGCGTCCCTTCCTCGTCTCGAGTGCGGGCTTAGAAACACCTCAACAATCTTTACTCACGACCCCCTTGATAACCATGCATCGTGGCTCCTTGGACGGGCCGAGCCGGGTCTGAACTCTCGCCTGTTTCCCCCTCTACAGCTGGGACCCTGTCGTCCTGCAGAGACTATGCTGCCTGTCGATAAAGCTCAAGCTCTGCTCATGCCCGGGTAGTGACAGGAGACATGGCTGCTGTGGACCTGTAGTGACGGACTCTGGAAATGAAACCAGCATTCTACTCATGACTCTGTTTGACGTCAGGTTTTTGTTTACTTTTCCAGATCTAGAATACAGGTGCAAAGGAGAGAGGTATGAGGCACAGAAGGAGTGAGGTGGTGGAAGTTCACTTACAGCATAGCACTGCAGAATACATTTGCCATAAGTAAAATGCCATAGTGTTCCCTTAGTTCTCTGCAACTGGTTTTAAATGCAGGAATTTCCAGATAGTTTGTTTTTCATTGGCTGCAACCAAACTGTTTTGCTAAGCTTTTTAATATTGTTTGGAAGTTCAGATCTGCCAGGTGGTGATACAGGGCCTTTGTGATGGGTGTGGTGTTTTTGAGTTATTATATTACAGCTGAAATATTAAGGCTGCTTGTTACTAGGCAAGTTCATGGAAGTGTTCGGAGGTTTCGCAGCGTATCTGAAAGTTGAGTTGTTATTTTAAATTTGCTCCGTGAGAAGAAGGGATTAAACCAGTTTACTTTTGCTTATCCATATTTGCCTAGTTTTACCATCTATTTGTCATGTATGCAACGGGAGCTTTACATCAAACACTGATTTTATAAACCAGATTTGACTTAGTTTGTAAAACAAGTTGTCTCCCATCTTTGTAAACTCTCCCCTTTTATTCAAGAGGAAGCGTCAAAGAAAGGAAAAAGACCATTTGAATGCAACGTCTCCATACCTCAGTGTACCTTACTCTGGTCATTTATAGCTTATAAACCTTCCAGATTCTATATAGCAACAGGATGTCACACAACCTTAATGCCATGTGTAACAGGGTAATGTAGCCACATTTAAGAGATTAGCCTACATGGGAAAAGTCTGTATACATACGATGGGTTTCATGGACGCAATTTCTGCCGGGTGCTTCTGAAGATAACATTTTGAATAGAACATGTTACAAGCTAGCAGCAGAAGTGTTTCTCTGTTGATGCAGTCTGAACTTTGCACATCTGGCTCCATTTTCACTGCAACAGGACATTTCACTCCATTATAACAGCAGTGTGTATTTTGAACACCGGAGGAAAATGTGAAGAATCCGTTTTGTTTTCATGTACAGTTATACACAGTCCCCAGGACATACACTTTGTAATTGATACTTCGATAAAATCGCTCTGGACATCGGAATTTGATACAGCACGAAGTCCTTTAATTTTGTACATGGTGTAAAATGCAAATATTGTACAAATCTGTAGAAATAATAAAAGATGCATTTCTTTGGGACATTTGTGAATTGTCTTTTAACAACATTGTCATCTGAGATCACAAGTTGACAGCCTCTGTAACACATTTATTCTAAGAAGCTTTGACATTTACTTACATTTCTGACATAGCAGGTGTTAATAAATCATTTGTCAAACATTTCAAGGATTCATCGTATGCCAGAAGCTCCATCTTGGGTGTGCTACTCTCTACTTAAGCCAGTAAAAGGTGGCACATTTTGGGATATGAGATGACAGGCGCCAGGCCAATGCATTCCTGATGTGTGTCTTAAAGGGCCGAGGAGCAGAATAGTCGTCGTCCCTCCCCCTTGAACCTGTGCCATGTTTTTGTTACCCCTCCCATCCACCCCTGGCCGGAAACATACCACTTGAGAGTTCCTAATATAGACCCGACTGCTTTGGAGGAAAGGGTAACAAACCGACCGGAGCCACCAGCAGTTAACGCTTCGCTGCTTTGACATCAACTTTTTCATGGAAACACAACAGAAATATGGAGCCTACCTCACAGGTGAGATACTCGGGTTGAACATGAATACAAGAAAAGTGTTAGTGGTGCTGCAACTGTTATTAAAACTAGGGAAACTATTCTGTCAATGTCTTTTGAATGTTACGCTTCCTCTGTTGTAGGTGTCACTCCCAGAAAAGGAAGTAAAGAAACAAGGTAGGATTACAACCATTGGATGCATGTGTGTTTCCATTTTGTCTGTACAGTACACATGCATATGGATCATGCTCTATTTGTAGCCATGTCTTTGCATGTGTGTCCATGTTCAGATCAGGACTTTTAATGTGTGCTTTCTCGCAGAGGCTGATGGCACAGTCTACATGAATTTCATGAAAAGTCACAGCTGCTACGATGCCATTCCAACCAGCTGTAAACTGGTCATATTTGATACCAAGCTACAAGTAAGAAGATTTTGAACATGCTGAAATACATTGGAGGTTACATCCTCCCTCTGACTGTGTGAATGTGTGACTTCCACAGGTGAAGAAGGCCTTCTATGCACTGGTGGCAAACGGCTTGAGGGCGGCACCTTTATGGGACAGCAAGTTACAGAGATTTGTGGGTAAGATGAGTACAAATTGTGAAGTATAGGTCAGTGGGAATTTAATAACAGCAACATAAATCCTTTCCTCTCACAGGTATGCTGACCATTACAGATTTCATCAACATCCTGCATTGCTATTACAAGTCCCCCTTGGTGAGCATGGATTTTAAACGCCATGAATATCATAACGTTTGAATGAACACGCTCAGTGCATGCAGTACAACTCCGAGTTAAACGTCAACATTTTACTGTATGTTTTGCAGGTGTTCTATATTTGCTTTGACCTTCTTGAGGTGTGGTGAGTGACTCATATCTTGACTTCTGGGTTTCCCTTTTGAAGGTTCAAATGTACGAGCTGGAGAGCCACAAGATTGAGACATGGAGAGGTGATTCATTTCAAAGTAAATGACCACGAGGGATCAGTGATGTGTCTGCACACCGTCTCTGGTAAATCTACAGCGCTCACTCTTTACTCTTCTGTCTAGATGTCCACTTGCAGTGTTTCAATCACTTCCTCATTTACATCACTCCAGAAGCCAGGTGATAACCAGACCTTTGAAACTATTGTAATTCTCTTGATTCTAGATGAATTGATGTCAAATGTATCCTCTACTCTTGTCCTCGTAGTCTTTTTGATGCCATCTATTCGTTACTGAAGAATAAGATCCACAGGCTGCCAGTCATCGACCCAGTGTCTGGAAATGTCTTGCACATCCTCACCCACAAAAGAATCCTCAAGTTCCTCCATATATTTGTGAGCGAGCACATGATTTTTTTACTATTAAACCTGGTTTATTTATTTTTTGCATGCATTAATGCTCTTCTTCTATGGTGTTTTAGGGGAAAACCGTTCCAAAGCCTGCTTTCATTGGAAGGCAGATCCAGGAGCTGAGGATTGGGACATTTACTAACATCGCCACTGTTCAGCAAACTGCCACGCTGTTCGATGCCCTCTCCATTTTTGTGGAGAGACGGGTGTCTGCACTACCTGTGGTGGATGAACAAGGTATTATAGAGGTTTATTTATTTGTATAACTGGGTATTAGAGTTAAATACATTAAGGGAATCCTCCTAATTCTGGTTGAACAGCTGTCAACATGTTGTTTCTCAGGCAGAGTGGTGTCTCTCTACTCGAGATTTGATGTGATTGTAAGTAATCGGCTCTATTTCTGATCTCAAAGTGCAATACCCTAAAGTGTACTATCTTTGAATATCATATCATTGTTTGCTGACATTTTGTTTACTCTGTGGCAGAATATAGCAGCCCAGAAGACTTACAACAATCTGGACATGCCTATGCACGAGGTTGTTCGCAGGCGCTCATGTTTTGTTGAAGGAGTGATTAAATGCTACCCTTATGAAACCTTGGAAATCATCCTAGATCGTATAGTCAGAGCTGAGGTAGATATTATCTTCAAAAGACTGTGTTCTGAAATATTTATCATGAAATAAAAAATAATGAATTTCCATCCTAACCCCAGGTCCATCGGCTGGTTCTGGTGGACAGGTCTGACGTGGTGAGGGGCATCATCTCTCTGTCCGACCTGCTGCAGGCCATGGTGCTCTCCCCTGCAGGTATTGATGCCCTTTACTCCTAGCACCAGGGGCCAGAGGGGCCCCTCTCCCCTTTACCAGCTGTGTAGACTTGAGCCCTGGCAGCGTATCCAGCCAGGTAGGCTCTCGAGCCTTTTACCCAAACCAACCCCCCCTTTTATACTGTTGCCTTACAAAGCATCCAGAAGCCTTTACCACCACTTTTATTGTTAATTAATAAAAAATATAATGGTGCTTTTACACCAACTGTCTGACTGATGCCTTGCAAGCAAATATCATTTTTCAGGAAACCCACAGAAATGGCTGATTATTAATATTAGCTTTTGCTCATTTCTTTCAGAAATCTATCTGTGACTGAAATGAGAGATCACATGGGACGATGAGCTGTTGTTTACACAAAGATTTCTTTCATGATCTGTGTGCTGTGTTCAGGTAACAACAAAGGACAGTGAGCTGACCTTGATACCACGACTCTCTATAGGTCTCCAGCACGATGGCAATATTGGCTGCATTTGATCAAATTGATCAATATGTTTTTACACAATACTGTATATTTCTGTAATAAACATTTGTATCAAAAACGTGCTGTTGTGTCTTTTCTATTCATATACAATGAGTAATAGGTATTGCAGAATGAAAAGTAGCTGCAGCAGAAGTGATAGGGTGTGCTTGTTAGGGAGAGCTTTTGCAGTTTTGAAGTGTCCTAACCTTTATGCAATATTTCATGCATGCAGCTCTATCTCTAACCTCACAGTGGTGTACTTGAGCTTATGCTTCTCGATGGCTTTAGCCCATTCCGTCTCAGTAAACAAGGAAACACGTGACTATGTTTTGTTTTTTTCTCGTCCGTGACGGGCCTTGTGATCCGTCCGCCCATCTGTGCCATTGGTCCATCAAGGTTCCAGAAATAATCAATGATAAGGCCGGAAATTAACATAGCCTTAAAAATAAAGTAAGCGTGTCTGACATCAAGTCTTTACTTCAAGTTCTAATGAGAATGTTACTAAATGTGATATTTGGTAATAAGATGCAAATAATACAATTTAAATAATGTTTTTACATTGACAAAATACATTTATTTTCACGATATTCAGGTTGGTATTATGTGAACCAGGCTAGGCAACCCGTTTTATTTTGAAAGTCAAAACCGGATGTTTTCAATATTTCTCAAAAGCTGTCACACTTGACGCTGTTCTTTCCACATACCCCGTGATATCCCAACAACATAACAAAGTGGGGGAACATGGCGAGTGGAGAGGAGGCCAGAAGACGCCCCTCGGTTACCTCCTCCTCGGTCGGCCTTGAGTCTCTGTTCGCTGCCGGGACTTCGGAGCAGATCTGCGGGGACGCGAGCCCGGAGCTGGTCTTCCTGCGGGAGAGACTCCAGGGCTGGCTCCAGCAGTACGAGCCCATCCTGCTATGGGTGCAGCGGCTGCTGGTGTGGGAGAGGCCGCTGTGCAGCATCTGTGTCGCCCTCACACTCAACACATTGTTCTGGTAACCATCCGAGCTTAGTCATGTGTTCACCTTTTTGTGACATCTCAATAATGTTGCGTTGAGTTGGCTGCGAGAAGATTGGTCAAAATAAGCTAATCCCACGCCTTTAGCATAATGCTAACGCAGCTTGCAAAACAGTTTAAAATTCATTTTCAGCTAGGAAAATTGAGCGTCATGCATTACACACTGTCAGGTAAAACACTATTGTGCAGACAGAATTGATAACAGGAGTTATTTTGAGGTGTTACACAGCCTAATCCTAACAAGCACTCATGTCATGCTCGCTGGCCCAGGCCCTGGTCACCAGCTGACAGTGACAGCTTACCAACAGAGGTGCAAATAGATGCATTTATTGACTTTAACTTGGTGACATCATATGATTTATTTGCTGAACATCATCCAGACTGTGTGTGTGTCTTCACAGGCTGCTGTCATCCACCTCCCTGCGGCCTCTGTTCCTGCTGAGTGTGTCCCTGCTGGGACTCGTGCTGCTGGAGAGATGGAAGCCCAAGATGCCCATCATCACCAGTAAGCCCTTTATGTAACTTGAATGGAAATCTCACATTCCCATTCACAACCACTGGTTGATATTTAACAACATAAATATGTTATCAAATACAAACACTACATACACTTTTTATGCTGCAACGAAGCACAAACCTCCGAAAGAAATTTAGTAGAACCTGTTCACTCCTTAAGGCTCTATAATAGTCTTGAAAAGCTTGTTTACTCATACACATTTCTTTGTTTACGATCAGCTGCTAATTTTGTGTTTTCTCCCACTGCAGTTCAACATGCAGAGCCTCCCCCTGTAAGGTGTGTAGTGTGTACATGACAAACAGATTACTTGTATTGTAGTTTTTTTCTTCATGACGCTGGTCTTATGTCTTCATATCCTGAAGTAATTCTGACGTCATGTTTTGCATATCCATAACATATAATCACAACAAATGTTAAGCTACCAGTCAAGTTTAGTCTGTGATATTGGTGTTCATCTGTGTCATTACAATAACATGGAAACATGCAATACCTCTGCAAGCATTAAAGTACAGTCTGAAGCACTTTAAGTACAGCTTTGCGTTTTTTTCAAATGTTGTTTCCTGTGTGTATTGTTGTTTGTGTGCAGCCACACGATGAGTGTGGAGCAGCACCTGCTCAGTGTCCCTGAGCTCAGCCACCACCTGGCTGAGGGCTTCCTGACCTACCGTCTGTACCTGCAGGAGACGCTGCAGTACAAACGGCAGAACCATGGCAAGGTACACCCTTTACTCTGCCTGTTGACACCTATTGTCACATATTCTCCAAGTGTTTGTATTCTTGGTTAATAAATGCAAATGCACATTGTAAATCTACAAGGCATGGTGCAATCTGTCTGATTTTAGCTGGCGCTGCAGTTACTGGACGTCCTCTTCCATCAAACACACCTGCACACATGCCACGTTTCACTTCCTTATTTTACCCCGTGCTGCTTTAAAATGTAAAAAACTAATTTGCTTACTTACTCTGTTTCCCAGTTCTGTGGGATGATGTGCAGCAGCTGTTTTGTACTCGCTGTGGTTGGACATTATGTACCTGGAATCATGATCTCCTATATTATTGGTGAGTCTCTAATGGACATAAAGAAACTCTTGTGCTCCAGCCCTTCATTTACACTGGACTGTGTGTTGGTCCTGACTAACAGAGGGTGCGTGATAATAGATAAGGATACCATTCCCCTGTGGTTTGGCCTTCCCTGTTAATGTGTGCGCTAAATATCAGGTATCCTATTGCAACCCAATCTTCTATCTAATAGGTCATTCTTTAATATTTGTAGTGAGAGGATATTTTATTCAAATCAACTGCTAAAACTTCACATTTAGATAACACAGCTTGATCTTCACTACATAATCAGCCTCTGTGAATTTGCAGCCTTTTGCTTTGATACTCATGAAGGAAGAGGCAGTCTAAATATGTTGTCTGTGCACCTGTTCAGTACTGAGCGTGCTGTTATGGCCGCTGGTGGTGTACCATGAACTGATCCAGAGGATGTACACGGGCCTGGAGCCGATCTTCATGAAACTGGACTACAGCATGAAGGGAGAAACCGAGCACCGCAAGCACGACAAGAGGAGTGAGTGCCACCCTGACACCTTCACGCTTTAGATTAAGGGCCTAACTCGCCGTGCACTACATCAAATTAAAACCCTGCAGCTATTGAAACGCATGCTTGTATTTCAGGATTCAAGCACGCGAGGAGGAAGTGTAACACAAGGAGTTTTGAATCCAAGGAGATCAGCTTTTCTTTGCCCTTTTATACTGACAACTGTAGATAAGTTTTAGATTTATAGTTAGATTAAATTCTGCATCACTTTACTGAGATAAAGAAGGCGTGGATGGAGAATACTATTTTTAAAAACGAAATCTTGGACGTATTTTCATTCATGCTAATTTTCCTTGACTGCAAAGGGGTATTACATTGAATTATATGGTTTTTAAAAAGTCCTAACTGAAACGTGTTGAGATCTATTTAAAAATGTTGATGTGTGTTTTTTAACAGAGGTGAAGAAGGAGGGCGAGGAAGGGGACGAGCCGAGAGCTGAGACGGAGAGTGAGAGTGAGGAGGAGCTGTCCTGCTTCGCCACCACGGTACGGAGACACACCTGCAGACTGTACTCACATTACACATAGAGCAGGCTGGGGGAAGGTGTGTGTAGGTGTGTGTAGGTGTGTGTAGGTGTGTGTAGGTGTGTGTAGGTGTGTGGGATTAACAGAAGCCGTAGCAGTAATAGTGTGGAAAGCAGGTTATGCTAATAAAGCTTTGCAGTGTTGTGAAGTAAATGGCTTTAAGCAATATATTTCAAGTACTACCACATTCCATTAATTTCAGCGCGTACTCTGTTTCATTCAAACACTGTAGTGTCAGGTGTTCAGTCACTAAGCTGGGTCTGTGGAATGAGAGAAGACCTCCAGTGTAAGAATTTGAACAATAATGAGGGTCATTTATCTGACTGGTCTCCAGCAGGGAAGATTCACATAAAACCTCACTTATATTCACCCTTTTATTGTTTTCATCTCAAGGGTTCAATAAGTGCAATTATGAGAAGGATAATGATGTGTTTGTGTTATAGCAGTGATAACGCTGTGTTTTTTTCGTTGGTCAGGTGGATGCGAAGACCACCGCTCTGGCGATGGCCATCACAGACTCCGAGCTGTCGGACGAGGAGGCGTCCATCCTGGAGAGTGGGGGCTTCTCCGTGTCCAGAGCCACCACTCCTCAACTCACGGACCTCTCTGAAGGTAAAGGATCCTCATCTCAAAGGAGCTGATGTTGGTGTGTGAGCACTGTTGGATGAGGGTTAATTGATCATATCAACACATTTTGTCCTTTTACTGTAATTTTCAACCATATACGCCTTGCTCTGTGAATGATATTCCGCTTATATGATCAAACGTTTTTTGCCATCTCATCTCTCCCACAGATCTGGACCAGCAGAGTGTACACAGCGACCCGGAGGAGGCCTACATGAGGGACCTCCCTGAGTTCCCCTCAGTGGAGGAGTTCCCGTCCATGGAGCTCCACTTCCCTCTGCGGGGCAGCGGTCAGGGAGACGGAGCCCAGGCCGGTGCTCCGCCAGAGGTGGAGCTGCTGAGCCCCATCAGCCTCCTCATCCAGCACCTCGCTTCTCCGCTCCACTTTGTGAACACGCACTTCAACGGCCATGGTGTACCGCCCGGGAGCGAGGGAAGGGAGGCAGCGGGGAGACAGGCGGGAGACGGGAAGGAAGATGCGGTTACCCAGGATGCACAGCAGTCGTTGGAGGCACAGCAGTCGTTGGAGGCACTGAGCGAGGAGATAGTGAGCACGGCCATCTCCACCGTGGTGCAGAACACTCTGTCGGCCCTGCTGCGCTCCAGCGAGGACCCCTCCCTGGCTGAGTTCCTCCCCACTGAAACCCCTCCGGGCCCTCTGGAGACCCCCACCACCGAGATCACTACAGTAGGGGCCGGCGAGGTCCTGGACGAAGCGGCGGAAAGCGGCGCCGGCGAGGACGTCCCAGACGACACACTGGTTCCCACCGAAGAAGAGGACTTTGAGCTTCTGGACCAAAGTGAACTGGAGCAGTATGACGAGGGGCTGGACCTCACCTCTGACAGACAGGCGGGGGGTGGGGAGACCCCTCTGTCTCCTCAGCAGCCACCACAGTCATAGCTTCCCTGTTGCCTCCCCCTCACCTCCTTCTGTTTTTGTTTTTATTTGTACGTTAGAGCTACATTATCTTCACACATACTGCTATATAGAAAGCATTTATCAAAGTTAGCCGTTTAATACTGTCGGTCGCTGATAGGGGGGAACATGTTGAGATTACAAGGGTCTGTTCAGCCTCGGTTTAAAACTGGCTTGGGTTACAAGTCATAGAGACATCATTATTTTCAGGGGTTGCAATGTATTTGAAATCTGGATTTGGTTCATCTCACATGGAAATCTGCTTGATTAAAAAGCAGGTACATTTCTTCCTGTCAGAATAATGATGCCTTTATTTCCCCCCTTGGCTAAGAGCGTAACCCTTCCACCTTGTTTTCATTCAGATGTTAGTCAGATGGGTCTATGAAGAGTTGTTGGATTATATAACTAATAATATATGCTATAAATTATTTTATTTAACGGTCAGTCGGTTTATTGTTAAGCTCAGGGGGAGTTTAAAACTAAATTCAATCCCCTAAATTGCCCATAATGATTGTACGATATAATGTATTCCCGGAGTTAGAGTAGTGGAACAATAGTCCTTCACCTTATCCTCTATGGACGACGGAACATGACTTAAGTATAAATAAATAAATGTGTAAATAAATGTATGAAGAAATACAGGAATAAATAAATAAATACGTAAATAAATAAATATAGGAATAAATAAATAAATGACGAAATAAATACAGAAATAAATAAATGTTGAAATAAATACACAAATAAATAAATAAATATGGAAATAAATACACCAATGTATAAATAAATAAATAAAAGTCGAAAATAAAACAGAACACACGTTATTATATATCTTCCATATATTTCTACATTTACGCGACATACATTTATTTATTTATGTGTCCGTATGCTAATGAGGTGGGCGGTCCTAACCTCAGTCTGAAGCAGGATTCGCCAATTGTTGGAGACAGGCAGAAGCAAGAGATTCGTGGCAAGTCACATCTGTTCATTCTGTGTACAGTGTACACCCACGGCAACTCGCTAATAATGGCTTCTTTAATAATTGTTCTTTCGCACACCCGTTCACGATGTCCCCAGCGGTGTGCCCCCAACAAAGATGTGCTTCAATAACGTTTGGGGGCAACAAGATGGACGCCCAAGGGTCGCCTCCTCTGTTTCCGAGAGGATTTCAAGTTGGCGGGCAACCTCTTGAAGACTCTCAAACACAGCTGGGTTAACATCCACATCCATGTCGAGCTGAGCCAAGTCCTCTATACATCGTTCCACACGAAACTGGACATAGAGAGGACATAGTCTTTTGGATCTCCGTTCTCTAAATGGTCCGCTAATGATCTCCAATGGCTCTTAAACCAATACCCATAAATAATCCTTACAACTGTGGATAAACCATGGATGTATAAAGATAAGGGCTAAACAGTAAAGCTCCTGCATTCGAATCAGCGCGGTTAGCCAGGCGTTAGTATAGCCCTCGGCCAGAAATGATCACACACTCCTGTAACCAATCCTGCTTCAGACTGAGGTTAGGACCGCCCACCTCATTAGCATACGGACACATAAATAAATAAATGTATGTCGAGTAAATGTAGAAATATATGAAAGATATATAATAACGTGCAGTGTTTCAAAAAACAATTTGAATTTCTATTTTTTATCGATAACGGCTTGAGGTTAAAAAATAATAATAAACGAATTTGAAACTGGGGGGGGGGGACACAAACGGGCAGACAGCAGAGCTCGGGGCAATAATGCAGATTTGTTTGACTTTTTTACACTTTGTTGTTCTCCTTTCCTCCGCTCGTGTCTCAGAAACAGAGCGGAGGGAGAATGTGAATACGCAAAGCAGTGGACACTGAAACATGCACATACATTGGATAAATAACATAGGCGTTTAGTTTATTTAATAAAAGAGCACATGTTCAATGTGAAAAGTGACCGTAGATAGATTACTTCAGTTGCAATTTGGTGCTATATATATATATATATCTTTTAATTAAAAAATAAAAAAAATTAATAAATTAAAAAACAAAATAAAACACCTTGAATTTCAGGCGGGGCGCGGGGCTCCGTTGGCAGGGCGCAGCGCCCCGCCAAGACAATGGTAGGGGAAACACTGACGTGTGTTCTGTTTTCTTTATTTATACATTGGTGTATTTATTTCCATATTTATTTATGCATTTATTTATTCTTTTATTTATTTATTTGTGTATTTCAACATTTATTTATTTCTGTATTTATTTCGTCATTTATTTATCCCTGTATTTATTTATTTACGTATTTATTTATTTATTTATTTATTCCTGTATTTCTTCATACATTTATTTATTTATGTATTTATACTTAAGTCATGTTCCGTCCTCCATAATCCTCACCTCCAAGGTCTCCAAGGTTAGATTTCTGACAGAAGCACTCAGTCATTAGCGGTCTTTCACTTGTTGCCTGGAAATGGAAACTTTGACATTGTTGGATGTTGAACAGTAGTAGATCTTTACCCGTACACAGAAGTGACTTTGTGGCAAGATAAAAGAAATGTCCCTCTGTAATTGAGTCCATCCATTTGTATTTGGCCCATACGTAATTGAGTTTACTCTTGATTTACAACTCTATTGAAGTGTTGTTGTAAAAGCCCCAACTTTCTTTCCCTTTTAAAGTCATCACTGGGATATGTATATTTACCAAATAACCTCCTTTGTGCCACGACAAGTCCATGCATGTCCATGCATTGCGCACGTGTTAACCATGATCATTATTTGAGGCACATTTTTAAAGGATTATTGGAGCAGATTCTTTTTTTTGAGGGACATTGCAATTTAAAATGTTAGAAAATGACAAAACGAAATCCAGCACTATGCTCGACTGTATCAAGAGGCCGGTTTTGCTTTTTGTAAACCACTCAGCAACTGAATATCAGGGGTGGGTTGTACAAATTGAACATACCATGGCAGAATGTGTGTCCATTTCCCGACTTGTCGCAGCACTGTATTTGTACTAACCCGTCCTTTTTCAGTCGATGCCTCCTTGTGTATAGTGTAGAAATTCTAAAAAGGAAGGTGTATATTCTGCATGTAAAAACAGTGCTCTGTTCAAGTTCTCCTTGTCAACTGACAAAGTATTGCACAATTTGTGAGGAAAGAAAAATCAATTTGAATGTTTCAGGTTAAAAAAGCCCATTAAATCCAGTTTGTTTATATTTCATTACCAACAAAGGGGAAGGAGTGTGTCTCCAACTGTAAAGACCAGGGATTACATCAGATTTATAGAAGGATATTAACAGACTAGTTTATGTATTGTAGTCGTGTGTTTTATGCTTAAAAATATCGCTTCTTGAACTATAAAAAAGGCACTTACTGAAATGTACAATTTAAAGAAAAAAAAAAAAAAAAGGAATATATTTTCTAATTTCTCCTTTTCCATAAAGTACTCAGTTTGGTCTTTTACATCTGAAAATATAACAGCAACGGACAGGTTTCACAAAGCGGAAAAAACTTTATTGTCATGAAACTGGTCAAATAAAACTGCAACACCACATGTGAAAGTTTGAGAATAAAAGAACAAACTGAAACAAAAATAAGATGTGGCAGTGAGATTCTTCTGGATTACTTCATCATTCATCACGTCTGTTTTAATCGTCCATCAACTCTTTTTTTATTGATCGCAACCGTGTTATCTTTCTCCTGGGGAAGAAAAACCTGTTAGAATTTGTTTTAAACACCATGATTTGTCAGATTGTGAGCACCATTGTTCATTTTTGTGTAATTTCACAAACCTGCCTGAGTTCACTCGCCGCAATCTCAAGTCTCTCCTTCAAATTGTCTTCACGTGTCACATCAGAAAGCACGGACCACTTCCTGTCTGTGAAAATGACCGGGACTGAGAGGACGATGCCATCTGGGAGATTATAGTCACCTACAAGCATCCAAAGAAGATTAGTTCAAACACAAGATAGATCAGCCAAAATCAATGTCTGAGATGATTGTATCCTCACCTGGGCAAAGCACTCCCAAAGAGAAGATCTCATCTGGACCACAAATGCCATTCCACGCCTTTAGGACCTCAAGGATCCCATTAGCGAGCGACATGGGAGCAGCACGGCAGGTCTTTGAAGCCACAGCTGCACGCTGACAACGCACCAACTCCTGTAAATCTGTTTCCAACCATTTCCTGGAAGAGAGAAGGAGATTATTCACTTTTTTGGGGACGTTTCAACTGTACATTTCACCCATTGAACTGAATCCCCAGCAGGGTACGGTTTGGTTGGCAGTTTTGCCATTTCATATCATTTATTTTTATTATGACAAACCTTTCTTGGAGGATGTTTTTGGCTGGTTGGGAAAAGTAAGCTGGTCCTTTGATTGGCCCATCATAGTTGAAAACCTTTGCTCTCTGGAGGTCAATATAGAAACTACCGCTGATGTTTCCCCACACAATGACGTGTGTGACATCTACAGCAGAAGGGAGGGATCATTCATCTTGCTTAAGAAGGTGATGTATTTAAAAGACCTATTAGGTACAGAGGGAGAATTTCCTACCTGACGTCCTCACTTTCAGCTTCCTTGCGATGATGGCCCTCGCTTCATTCTCCAGCTGAGTTGCCACGGTGACAAATTGGTTGCTGTCAATCAAGTTTACGTTGTCCAAAAGTAGTGAGCATCTCAGGTTGACAAAGGAGTCCCCAGACACGATGACCTTTACCTCCCTGTTGGCCCGTGTGTCAATCAGCTGTCCATACTCTCTGTATCTGTCTGAGATTCTCTTCACCTTCTTCTTCATTTCCTCCTCATCTTCTGTATCACTGTCATCAGACCAACACTCATCCTGAAGTAGAATGACATCAGCTTCTTTAAAGGCCTGTTCCAGATCTGTGTGAATGGTCACCTGTGAATGAATAGATGGCTTTGTTTTCCTTCTGATTAGGTTTAAAAATAGTCTCCAAAAAGAAGCATACTTGATATAGCAGAGGGAGTGCCAGGTTCTCCGTCACCATCCTAAGCCACTGAAGTTGCTCCTCTTTCCCCTCCAGGTTTAAAAGGTGGAGGCTGATAGCAGAAGTGTTGGGGAACACCTCAGCAGAGAGCAGATTGGGGATCAGGAAGTGGCCGGTTGGGCTGAGAGCGCTGGAAATACCCAATCTGTCAGCTGACAATTAAAAAAAATATCAACATTTGTATTTTATTTTCAAACCAACCCACCTGCTGAGCCATATATGAAGGGGTTTAATAAGACTGACACGATGTTGCTCCTCTACGATTGAGTTCATCTTGGTTTCCAGATTCTCTGATGCAACACTCAGCATGATATCTGTAGGCATATCTGATGTGACGCTGTAATAGTCCTGCACAACAAGGGATGACAACAATAACATGTGGCAGACGTAAACCTATAATCCAAGCCATTTGTTATACATATTTCTCACAGTTTAAAGAACATATAAGGAAGTCATTCAT